AAGCTTCTTTCAAACAACCAGAGTATCTGGTTAGAAATAATTTAGAATGCTCATTAAGTAAAAAGATGCATTCATGTGCCTAAAACTATATGTTAAATGATGCATTCGAATAACAGTGACAGTCTGTCTGAAGTTCTGCCAGACAAATATTTGATCAGAATAATTTTGTTCAGCTCCAGTTATTATGCTACTTGTATTAAGAAATAATTGTATTGCACTTTATAACAACCATGTTAACTAGGCATTTGTCTGCCAGTCTACCATTCTGACAGTGTGCAGCAAGGGACATTTTTGGAATGGTTTTAAAATAAATGCTGAATTATGATGACATTGTTTTTTGTTTTTGTTCTTTTTTTAAGTAATGAATTGAGTCATCACCGTCTATGAGAATGTCCAGAAGAGATTCACCAAGTCTGAATTCATGAAAAGGCTTTCGCCATGATTATCTATGGCAAGAACAGCTGTAATTTCTGAGCATTTCTGGACACCTTCAAAGAGCTGCTTCCAGGAAATGAAGACAAGAAGAAGATCTCCTGTTTTCAGAGCATTACAGGAAGACTATTACGAAGGAGATGGCTGACATAATCAAAGCAAAAAATGTTACTGTTGAAAGAACCTATTTTCTTAAGTTAAAGAATAAGTAATTCTGTTTTAGTTTTTCAATCAGCATTTCAGAGTAACAATATACTGACCAGACGTTAAACCCTCTGTTTGAAGGACAAGTTATCTTTAGCTTTATTCCAGTGTACAAAGGGTTTGTTCTACAGTTATGATGGTAGTTATAAATAATCCACTGCATTCCACTTTACTTGTGATAAGACTCTGTTAGCATAGCATTTGACACTGTAATAACATTTAATAACATATTCATAACTGTTGCTACTTGATTCACTTAACTTGATGTAAGAGGAATTATTAATGACTTTGTTATTTAGTCATTTGACAGTGTAATAAAACTTAATGACATTTTTATTATTACCTACATGTTCTACTTTATTTCAGGTGGGGGAAATATTAATGACTGTTGTTAAAAGTTTTTGACAGTATAATAACACTTAATGACATCTGTAACAAGTCCAATGTTTAAGGGAAAATATTAATCACACAATTATAATGACCTCATGTCCGTCACAGTTAAGACTACCAACAAATGATAATGTAATAACAAACAATTCATAATATTTTCAATTTTGATAATTAATTATTATGACATATTTATGACCGATGATGATTCTAGGTTGATGTCAAGTTGTCATAACAAAGACATTTTGAATAATGTCAACTTTGCATTAAAAGACAGTCATAAATATTTATGAAGACTTATTCATGTTCATGACAGGTGTTATGTCATGTTTATGACGGTGTCATGACAGTCTTATGCACACCCTGTCAAATAGAGTGTTACCATTTCTGCTTACTGAAGACAGCAGCAAATATGTTTTTATGTGATTTTTGCAGGTGCAGCGTTGGGTCCTTTGTTGGCTGGTTTGATCTCACCCACCGGCTGGAACAATGTTTTCTACATGCTCATCTCTGCTGACATCTTAGCCTGCCTGGTCAGAAATAATGCTACTATAGTGCTAACTTATAAAATCTCTAATAGCAGTGGTTTAAATTCTTTGTTCTGGCTTCTGTCTGTTGTTATGATGACTACCTGTAATTGTTTTACTGCACATAAACTGAATAGTGGCTCATTTTTTTTATTTTTATTTTTCCACAGTTTTTGACTCGACTCGTCTTTAAGGAAATCAAAGGCTGGTGTGGACGGATTCCCTGAGCCAGCGGGTGAGTCACTAATGTGACTGGTTTTAAAGATGGAGCCACCAAAAAAAATCTGAATTATGAGAAGACAGAAATATTTTCCTTGTATTTATAATATTTGTCCACTCATTCCACCCATCTCTTACGCTTCATCAGTCTTAAGTATAAACATATTTCATGCCTTTCCAACTGAAATCAAAATGAAAGTAAATTAAAGTAGTAAAATAGTGATTCTCTCAACATAACTGTAATTTCTTCTTTTAATTTCTTGTTTATAAGGTTTAAAAAAAATTATCTCACAATCAAAACAATCTGTCACAGCACTATAATTAACCAGACTTCTTCTCACTGTATAGCCAAAGAAAGCAAAGCCAGAAGATTCAAGTTACTAAGCCGATGATTGAAGCTTTCTGTTTGTAAAACAACAAAGGAAATGTCCCTTTGCAGAGACAAATTTTAATCACATTATTCTAAGTTGTCTTAATGTTCTTTTATTGTTCGTCTTAATCTTGTTTTTGATTTGCTGTCTCCTCACAAGTGATTCCACTGGAAATTTGGTAAACTCTGAGATTAATCAGATGTGCTGTAAAAATGCTGCTTATGCTCAGTGTATAAAACAATCAAATAAATAATGTTAAAAATCATGCAAGATTCTGTCCCTGTTTTTGTAAGACATTACAGCTCGCATGTAGCTGTAGCTGAAATATGTATCTCAGGTATGTAGATGCATTTCCATTACAAATGTACAGTTTTGTGAAATACACAAATTTTCATACAACTGAAAAAAAAAAACCTCATCTGAGCGCAAAACCTTTATAAAAAAACATGAGTTTTTATGAAACTGGCATGATTCCATTAAAGCATGTAAAATATACATTTTATATAAAATTCACTCTTTTAGCACTTATTTTTTTGTGTGTGTTTTGTGTCTAAGTTCAAAAAGTTAAAATGTATTCTCTCCTGGTACTGCATATTGTTTTTTGGGATGTATTTTTCAGTCTTAATTTTTCTCTGTTCACTGTAACATTTTTCTTGTCTATGACATCACCACATTTACTGTGGAACTGCTAAATAAAGTCATATCTTCTGGCTAATCAGTTTTGTGAATCCACCATTTTTTTTTCCTTGCAGCAATTTTGTAGTTGAAGTTCAGTTATGCAGAAGTTGCAAGTAAAGAAGTCAAAATGTTCAATTCTAGCATGTATTAATCCACACAATTTCTTACATCATCCCCCGGCATCAGAGCCTATTTGAAGTGTCTGGTTAAATTTTATTTTTCTCTGGAATGTACCCTCATAAGTGGGAAAATCTGTTTTTGGAGCTTTTATGGACTACTGCTTCGCCAACATCCACCAGTATCAAGAGGGACTTTCTGAAAGATGTCATCTAATTGAGGCGTCAGTTCCTTCTTACTAAAATAAGGCACACAGAAAACCGCCTCTGGTTGCAGTGAAATCATACAAATGGTGTCATGTTCTTTCATGTTATTTTCTTGCACACTATTCATATAAAGTATGTACTCATTTATTAACAAATCATTTTGCTACAATGGAAACTTAAATTGACTCCAGAACACTGTGGTAAGCAAAGGGGTTCATGATTGAGATAATGACATGTTTCATCAACCCTCCATCTCTTTGCTTGACAATTCGTCTAAGGTATTTGTGCTAATTTGTGGTCTTCTGTATCTGCAAACCTGTAACTGTGCAACACAGCCTAACACCTAAGAAAACATTATTCCTGAAATCTGTTTCATGTCTGTCCTAGCTCACAATCGCAACTCATGCAACCATATTAATTTAGAGAGAACAAAGATGCTTTTTTTTCTAGCAAACCTTAAACCATACTTGGTCTCTTTTTCTTATTGTCCTTCCTGAATTTTCATTTAAAGGGGGCCTGTTATGCAAAATTCAACATTTTGCAAATTTTTGTACTTCTATTTGGATCGCAACTGCCAACCAATTAAAAATAAAAACACCCAGCAGTTTTTGGCAATAAGTTAATGGTTTTTGGTGTCTAGAACATGGACCATTTCAAAAACCTCCTGATTTTAAATTCACATTCAACAGACACTCTGTTACCTAGCAACCCCAGTCAAGCCCAGCCCACCACCTAGCAACCTAAACTGAGCTCTTGCACATTTGGTCATCTGGTTTTACTGCTGTATGCATTATATATTGGCTGCTGGAAAAGACAAGTGCTTTATTGTTGACTTACTATTTAGAAACCATTTGGTTTTTGGATAGTAAGTCAGAAATCTCCTGCACAATCAACAGGAGGCTCCAAGTACAACCTCCTGTTGATTGTGCAGGAGGCTCCACTTCTGCTTTTCAAAGATGTGCAATTGTGCAATTGCACATCTGTTTGCAACCATTTCACATGCAATTTTCACATGTTGAGTTGGGACACGTGACCAGCAGCAGCTTATCTGAATTTATAGTAGCAAGAGACCCAAAAATAGCTCAATCTGAAATGAGCTCAAAATAGACAGAACTGACCAGACCAAAATCTTATCTAAGAGTGATTTTGTGCAAAAACATTTAATGAACATGTTTTGTATACCTCATATATCTATCCTGCCCTGTGCAAGGAAGCATTATAGGTCACCCTTAGCATGTTAACTAAGTCTTGAAATTCTAAGAGATCTATTTTTTGCAATTTCTTTGATCAGTCTGAGCCTCACAAATTAGGGTGATTTTGGTTGGAATAATGTGTATTTTTAGGAAATTTAACTACTGTCTTAAGTGTTTTCTATTCGTCAATAATCTTACAGAAGAATTATAGAAATAATATTGTTTGAAAATAACTATATTTCCTTTTCCAGTTGTATAGTGTCCAAAAATTCCATCTCCAACCTGTCGATGGGTATCCTCCTTAGCCCTTCAACCATGTCTTTGTTTTGCCCCTTTGTTTTGTCTGAATGTTGCCATTTTCCCTAATGTGTCC